CATATTTATGACGGTTGCAGTGTCTTGCAAGTCACCAGATCACCTTGTGACCTACAAAGTTAAAGCCGGATTCGCTTAACGGTCGTGCGACTAACTTTAACGGCTGCAGTGATTCACTTAACCAACGTGGCGAGAAAGGCCATAAAATAGGTCAAAATTCACTTAACTGTCTCGCTTAGCAATAGAAATGCTGGGCTCGATTGTGGTTGTAAGTCGAGGACTGCCTGTAATGCTGATGCCAGCTAAGCAATATTAGATGAACTCAGTTAACATGAACAAGGTCTTGAATATCCTAAAAGAGGTTGGCTTAAGGTGGGCTTGTGGAGAATTAACTGTAAAAACTACTGTTGAAGGAATGACTTTAGAATACAATAGAACAGGGGTCTTCAAACTTGGCCCTTTTATGACTTGTGGACTTCAACTCCCAGAATTCCTCAGCCAGGCATGCCTGGCTGAGGAATTCTGGGAGTTGAAGTCCACAAGTCATAAAAGGGCCCAGTTTGAAGACCCCTGATTTAAAAGAAGAGGATTTTCTTAAGCTGGCTCCTGCAAAGACTTGGATACAGCCACACATCTTGATAAGCAGATTGAATTAAAGGGGTCTGTATTGGTGTCAGAAGCCCCTACAAATCTAACCGAGGGGTGCTTCTGGATTGAAAGGATTCATAGGTAGCCCTTGACTTAGGACCACAACTGAACCCAACATTTCTGTTGCTAAGCAAAACATTTGCACACTGGCAGAGGAATTCTGGGAGTTGAAGTCCACAAGTCATAAAAAGGGCCATGTTTGAAGACTCCTGCAATAAAATAACAGAGTTGGAAGGGACCTTGGAGGTCTTCTAGCCCAGGGTTTTTCGACCGGTGGAACGCGTACCACCGGTGGTACATTGGCACCTGGCAGGTGGTACGCAAGCCTGCCTAGCCTGGACAAGGGTAGCTGCAGGGCTGCTGGGGTGAGACAACCCCAGAAGAGAAAGGAGGAGGAGGAGGGCGGAGACAGGAGAGCCTATAAAAGGAGGCAGTTTTGGCGGGAAAGAGAGAGAAAAAAGACTTCAGAGAAAGAGTCAGTAGAGAAAGGGCTTTTCTGAGAGAAGCAATGTGTGAGGCAGACGGCAAAGGCTTTTGGGCAGGTGTGTGTGTGTGAGGCAAAGGCTTTTGGGTAGGTGTGTGTGTGTGAGGCAAAGGCTTTTGGGTAGGTGTGTGTGTGAGGCAGAGAGGAAAGGCTTTTGGGAAGGTGTGTGTGTGAGAGGCAGAGAGGAAAGGCTTTTAGGCAGGTGTGTGAGGCAGAGAGGAAAGGCTTTGGGGCAGGTGTGTGTGAGGCAAAGGCTTTGGGGCAGGTGTGTGTGAGGCAAAGGCTTTTGGGCAGGTGTGTGTGTGAGGCAGAGAGGAAAGGCTTTTGGGCAAGTGTGTGAGAGAGGCAGAAAGGAAAGGCTTTGGGGCTGGTGTTTGTGTGAGGCAGAGAGGAA